ATAAAAAAATTGTGAAATAACTGACAGACTGCTAAATTCTTCATATTCTAGCTTTCTGAAAAATCGGACTACCAATCTTGATATTTGGTAAAAAAAATTAATTTAAGTTGAGAGAAATAGTGTTGATACAAGTAAGTGTATGGAAATTTATACTAAGAGTAAGAACTGTACTAAACGGTACTAAACTCGGTACAGATTGGTTTTGGTTCAGCGGATTGATCTAGAAATTTAATATATTGGTATTGGTGTCTCTGCTGATGGGTAGGATTAAAATAAAGAGTTAGGTTTGGAAATGCGTTCAGCAAGCGTACGAAAGGTACTAAATGGTACAATTTTTGGTATTGCGTGAACGGATACTGCTTGAAATCTAAAATTTGGCATTAGGATCACTGTTAGTGTGTAAGATTGAGATTTGTTGGTACTAAAAAGTACTAAATTTTATTAAATTTGGTATATAAGGGAAGTCTAAAATTTGATATTAGGATCATTTTTGTGCGGTTTAGTTTATACATGGCAAGGGATTTGAAAATACGTACAAAAAAGTACGAGAAGTATTTAATAGTATTTGGAGAAGGAATATAGCTGGAAATCTGAAATTTGTAGTGTGAGTCTGTGATATTGTGTAGGGTAAATAAATCAAAGGGTTTTTTTTTCGAAATTTTAACAATTCGAGTACCAAAAAATACTGAATCGCACTAAATTTTGGTACCATTTGGAATTTTGTTAACATATAGTGGTACAATTTTAAAATTTGATATGAAAAACAATTCTTAAAAATTGGCAAAATGACAAGGATAAATAGAACTACATTTGTGACGATTCCGTTTTGGGTGAACGGAAGAATCTGGTAATTTGAAATTTTGGTATGGGATCACTGCTGGTGGGTAGGGTAAAGAGCGTACGAAATGTATAATACTAACAAGTAAAAAAGCGGTAAGTTCGGTCCGTCCGAATTTTGAATACCTTCCACAAAATGGAAGGAATTTGCAAATTTTCAAAAAAATCTAAAAAAGACAGCTAAAATCATAAAAGTACCGAATAGAGGGAGTTACCGTTATATAGGATCTCGCACGAAGACGTGGACTTGTAAATTCAATTTTTATGATATTTAAATACGAAACTTGAAACATTTCCGCTTAAATCATGAAATACCTATACCATGTTATATTGGGGCTATACGAAAACCTGGTGGATAACGTTGCTAAAATCATCAAAATACCTAACACACACCTGAGTAAAATTTTTCAGATTACTTAACCCACAGACAGAAACCGACAGACAGACGGACGGGCATTGCTAAATCGACATAGCATTTTATACTGACCAAGAAAATATTTACATTATGGGGTCAACAATTTTTGCTTCGAGGTGTTACAAACTTAAAAACAAACTCCATACTATGGTGAGGGTACAAAAAGGCCCAACACGGACTGTTGGAACGAATCTAAAACTTTAAGGTGGTCTTTCGAGTGATGGGCACTTGCTAGTTTAATAACAATTAAGTACAATTAAGCTTCCAGAAATCATTGGTCTGGCCCAAGGACGAACCCTGTTGAACTTGGTGAGAATCGGTTCAAATTTGGATATATCTCCCTATATATCTTTAACCGATTTCGGGTTAATTATGCACCAAATGACCAAGATCAGGCCAAATTACCTGAATTTTGGCACTTCCGACCGAATTCAGTCCAGAAGCAAGTACATCAAAATCGGTTCAGATATAGCTATAGCTCCTATATATATGTTTCATCCGATTTGGTGTTTAAGTCCCTCACATGCGTAATTTGCACTTCACTCCAGATATCAGATACAGCTGAGAAATAAGCGCCTAAAAGTTTTTGAAAATCGGTTTAGATTTGAATACAGCTTCCATATATCTTTATCCGAGATCGAATTTATTGTGCACCAAATGGCTAATATCAGTCCAAATAAATTGAATTTTGGAAATTCCAACCGAATTAAACCTAGAAACTAGAACTTTAAATTTGGTGAAAATCTGCTCCAATATAGCTGTAGCTCCCATATACATGTTTCATCCGATTGGGGGTTTTTAGTTCCTCACATGCGTAATATGCATTCAACAACAACGATCATTGGTACCAGATAAATTATACATCTCAAAATAAGTGCCTAAAATTTTGTCAAGTTCGGTTTAGATTTGTTATAGCTCATACATATATCTTTATCCGATTATACGGTTATTGTTGACCATATATGTAATATCAGTCCAAATTGAATGTATTTTTTTCATATTCAACCGATTTTTTCCATTTGGTGAAACTCGGTCTGATATATCCATAGCTCCAATAAATATTTTTATACCCTACACCACAAGGTGGTAAGGGTATTATGTCTTTGTGCATTTGTTTGTAACATGGAGAAGGAAGCGAGATAGACCCATAGTTACTTTGAGGATCTCCATAGAATCACTTTCTGAGTTGATTTATGCATGTCAGTCCGTCCGTCCGATTTGCCTTTTTTTCATACAACCAAATTAGGTCTGATAATATATATGCCAAAATTGATTGAAATCGGTTCAGATATAGCTATAGCTCCCATCTATATTGTTCATCCGATTTGTTATTTTTTTCCTCCGCAGCCGTAATATGCACTGTTCAACAACCATATTTAGGGAAATATATCAAATACAGCTCAGAAATACATGTGCTAAATTTAATCGAGATCGGTTCAGATTTGGATATAGCTCCCATATATAACTTCGTCCGATTTACCTTTTATTGTGCACCAAACGTCTAATATTTGTCCAAATGGGATGTAATTTGGCACTTACGGCCGAATTGAGTCTAAAAGCTAATATGTCAAATTTGGTAAAGATCGGTTCAGATATAGCTATAGCTCCCATATATATTTTTCATCCTATTTGTTATTTTTGTCCTCCGCAGCCATAATATGCACTCTGTAACAACAATATTTGGGGAAATATACAAAATGCAGCTCAAAAATACATTTGCTGAATTTTATCGAGATCGGTTCAGATTTGGATATAGCTCCCATATATAACTTCCTCCGATTTATTTATCCAAATGGGATGGAATTTGGCACTTACGACCGAATTGAGTCTAGAAGCTAGTATGTCAAATTTGGCAAAGATCGGTTCAGATATAGCTATAGCTCCCATATATAATGCTCATCCGATTTGTTATATATGCTACCCACAGCCTATATACGCAATCCGTAACAACAATATTCAGGGAAATATATCAAATACAGCTCAGAAATATCTTTGTCAAATTTTATCGAGATCGGTGCCGATTTGGCTATAGCTCCCATATATATCTTTATCCGATTTCAAATTAATTGTGCACCAAGTCCGAATTTAAAGGATACAAATGCTTCGGCATATTTAGTTCTTTGAACTTTAAATTACAATCATAGGGTGTATGATTGAATTCTCCCATAAAAACTTTTAATTGTTATGCGGAACTCTACTAAATTAGCAAAGTGGTGTAGGGTATCATAAAGTCGGCCCGCCCGACTTTAAGACTTTCTTTACTGGTTTAATATAATTCTTATCGAACGTATCATGCGCTATACTGCAATGTTATCTGGTATTTGTTGAAAATCGGTTTAGAATTGGATATAGTTTCCAAAATTTGACTACTCTAAAGCCATGATTCCCATTCAAATAAGGTTTATAGTTGGTATGATCTACTTCACATTAACTCCCAATATATACTTTTTTGTTACGAGAGCACTAGTCGGCCCCGCCCGACTTTTGACCTTTCCTTACTGGTTTTAATATACCTTATTAAAATCCCACCAAATCGGAGTTGATTCCACGATTTTGAGCTTTTCGACCCACAGTTCCAAATGTACGGATCTATGGGGAGTATTATTTATGTATTTATGTACTTATGGTCATAACAATTGCATGCTTTCGAGCTATTTTTTTTTCTTGTATTTTGAGTGGCGAATAATCCAGCATTGTATGGACAAAAGTCAACAGTTGCAAACATATAAGCATCCTCAACCATATAAATTCCTAACCAGAACAGAAAATAGGGTAAGTGTACCAGTAGTCGGCACTTTTAGGATTTTCGCGCTTTTAATCGCTCACCATTCTGAGTGGAACTTTTCAATTATTACAAAGTTAATTTATTCAGATTCAAAATTTTGTATAGTTTTTGCAATAATAAATAAAGTTTTAATAAATTTTATTAAATTTCATAAATTTGTAGTTTTATTAAAACAATGCTTTTTTTGCCAGTAGTCGGCACCACTTGCCAATTGGCGGTATGGCATGTTCCAACAGTCGGCAAACCAAATTTTTTGTAAAAATAATTAATAATAATAATAAATTAATTCATTAAAATATAATATTTTTGTTTAGTTTAACTGATTCGACGTCTTTATCGTACTTTTCTTAAGAATATGGATTGTTGATGACCTTCACAGACAAAAATTTAATTTTTATTTGAATAAATCATCTTTTCTTAGCGAAATTGTACACAAAGATAGCTGGCAATATATTTGAAGTAAACAAAATACATTTAGTTATAATAGTTTCATTTATTTGGGCTTAAAAATAAAAAGTGCCGACTACTGGGACATGCCGAACTTAGGCACACTTACCCTATGTGTAAATGTTTTCCGAAGGGTTAGAAAGCAAAAGCCATGGCTGAAAATTGTTGCGTGTTCCTGTTTTTTTTTCTTTTGCATTTGTTGATTTGCTTAACCTAAACATTCCTAATTGGCCAGTTTTAGCCTGGTTGGAAAGCGTTATGACACAATGATGTATGTGGGAATTTTGTTCTGGGAAGTTTTGTTTTGTTTTTCATTTCTTTTCTTTTCTCTTTTTCGCTGGAAAACTTGGAGAACTAGCAACGAAACGCTCTCTCGAATAATTAAAAAAACGAAAAATTGTCTGCATATTTCTCTGGTAGTTGCGTTTGTTTTCAAGTTTAATGTAATTTCATGAAATTAAATATTCGTTTAACCCTTGAATTTATTGTGGTTCTTTCGTTGGCTTTTGTTTGCAGATGAGTGGCAAGCGGACACGTAGCTTCAAGTGTGCCGTTCATCATCGAGACCGTGAAGTCTGTTCGGAGAATGATTTTCAGCTGGTGCTAGAGGAGCCGCCATTTTTCAAGAGAATGGTTCACGTCATTGCCATGGAAGTTCTGCCCGAGGAACGCGATCGCAAATATTATGCCGACCGCTATTCCTGTTGTCCGCCGCCTTGGTTCATTGTCTGCATAACCATTATTGAGGTAAGTAAATCAATTTTTTCTTTATTCCCAGACTCTGTCTGGGAGTCTGAGCGACTGTGTGATAATAAAAATATCCAAAGGGGGGAGGCAACAAAAGTTCTTTTTTTTCTGGCAAGGTGTGGTGCTGTACTTGGTGTGTGATGTTATTAAACAACATTATGAATACAAATTTCTCTGGTCTGGGAATTTTGATGGACATTCCGATGTGTGATTTTGCACCATAAAAACTGTCTAACAAATCAATAAAAAGTTTTATTTGATTTAATGCAAGAATTTCGTCTGTGTCACAAGACAACAACGGTATCGGTATTCAAAGTTGGAGAGATTTTCATTTTTAACTGCAAATTCTGTAAAATTGGATGGAGAATGTACTTTAACCGTACCGTTGTCCGAATCAATTGAAATTAAGCACACACTGCCAAGTTCAGTCCAGAAGTATGTCTAGCATTTTTGATGGATATCGGTCCAGATTTTGACATAGCTTCCATATATATTTCCGTTTTATTTCAATTCAATGGAATGGATTTCGGCACATTAGATTGAATACAGCTCAGACGCAAGTACTTTAAATTTGTTGAGAATTGTTTTAGCTATGGCAACAGCTACCATATGTATGTTTCATCCAATTTGGGGTTTCACTCCCTTACATTTTTATACCCCCCGCCAAATGGCTACAGAGGGCATATATCATTTAATACTGCCAAAACGTGCCTCATCGAAAATACGGTTTTAGATCCTAGGTCTCTTTGGACTAAATCCGTTTCAGGACATTTGAAATCGATCTAGCGATGTCCGCTCGTCTGTCTGTCTGGCTGGTGCGCATGATAACTCTCGAAGAGAGTATTCGATTCCGATCCGATACTTAGATCGAGTTCAGTGATGGGTGATGGTACCTCCCCACAAAATGTCTACATTTTCAAAGAAAATAATTTACTGCACAGAAAGAGAAAGGATAATTCGATTTTGCTCCAACTTTGCAAATCCTAATATTTGTATCAAAATCAGGTGCGAAAATGGACAATATCGATCCACTCCATCAAGTACCTCCCCCACAAATGGTCAAAATTTGGAATAATTATAACTCTTATAAAATGTGATGTAAGAGTCCGATTGTCTCCAATTAACACACATCACAATATTTTTATTAATCCAAGGTCTAATGTGAAGATGGAATATATCGGTCCACTCCACTCCACTGGTACCTCCCCTAGAAATGGTCAACATTTTGAATATTCATGAAGCTCATAAAACACGAAATTAACATTCGATTCCATTCCCACTTGGCACATCTCAATACTTCCATCAACATACGATTCGTTATAAAGATGGTAGAGATCGGTCCTTTCCTTCTGGCACCTCCCCCACAGAGGGTTATGGTATTGAATACCCAAAACTATCATAAAATCCGAAGTATGCATCTGGATCTCTTCAAATCACATACATCACAATATTTTTATTAGCCCAAGGTCTGGTGTGAAGATGAAATATATCGACCCACTCCTTCTGGTACCTCTCCCACAAAGGGTCAATATTTCCAATATCCTCGAAGCTCATAAAACGGGAAAATAACGGCCGATTCCATTCAGACTTGGTACATATCAATATTTCCATCCGGACAAGATCTATTATAAAGATGGCAGAGATCGAACCATTTCTTTTGGTACCTCCCCCACATAGGGTTGAAGATTTTGAAAAACAAAACGATCAAAGAAAGCGAAATAAGCATCCAATTCCATCCAACTCCTCAAATTTCTCACATAAAAAACATTTTTGCAACCAACCCCTTCTGGTACCTCACCCACAAAGGGTCACAATTTCCAACACTTATATCTGACACAGCTTGCGAAACAAGTCGGCAATTCTTTGCAACTTGCTGTATCTAAATATTTCTATTAACCAGAATTCTGATATGAATATAAAATTTATCGAAATTTATGAAAAAAAAAAATTAGATTTTATTACGGATTTTATAATCGTTGTTGTTATTCAAAACTTTTACCCTTTGTGTGGAAGGACCAGAAGGAATTGTACGATCTCTACCATCCTCACACTGCATCTTGGGTTAATAAAAATATTGTGATATGTGTAATTTCAAGACAATCGGACTCTTAAATCACATTTTATATGAGTTATAATTGTTCAAAATATTCAGGTCTGTCATAGAAACCAATTTTGTCACTATTGGTTTTAAAAACGACAAGAAAAAATGCTTTGGTGTCATGAAAATCGGTTTTATTTTTGAATTCGAATTTTATCGGTTTTGGTTGTCATAGAAGCCAATGTTATTGGTTTTGTTATTGGAAATAAACCAAGTTGCTTAGAGCTGTCACTTTTCATTTGCTTTGGATTTTTTAAACAATTTTTAAAGGATATTCAAAGGACTAAAAATGTGGATTATTTAAACAATTTTTAAAGGATATTCAAAGGTCTAAAAATGAGGATTTTTTAAACAAATTTTAAAGGATATTCAAAGGACTAAAAATGTGGATTTTTTAAACAATTTACAAAGGACTAAAAATGTGGATTTTTTAAAAAAATTTTAAAGGACTAGAAACTTGGATTTTTTAAAGAATTTTTAAAGGACTATAGACGTGGATTTTTTAAAGAATTTTTAAAGGACTATAGACGTGGATTTTTTAAAGAATTTATAAAGGACTATAGACGTGGATTTTTTAAAGAATTTTTAAAGGACTATAGACGTGGATTTTTTAAAGAATTTTTAAAGGACTATAGATGTTTTTTTTTTAAGGAATTTTTAAAGGACTATAGACGTGGATTTTTTAAAGAATTTTTAAAGGACTATAGACGTGGATTTTTTAAAGAATTTTTAAAGGACTATAGACGTGGATTTTTTAAAGAATTTTTAAAGGACTATAGACGTGGATTTTTTAAAGAATTTTTAAAGGACTATAGACGTGGATTTTTTAAAGAATTTTAAAGGACTATAGACGTGGATTTTTTAAAGAATTTTTAAAGGACTATAGACGTGGATTTTTTAAAGAATTTTTAAAGGACTATAGACGTGGATTTTTTAAAGAATTTTTAAAGGACTATAGACGTGGATTTTTTAAAGAATTTTTAAAGGACTATAGACGTGGATTTTTTAAAGAATTTTTAAAGGACTATAGACGTGGATTTTTTAAAGAATTTTTAAAGGACTATAGACGTGGATTTTTTAAAGAATTTTTAAAGGACTATAGACGTGGATTTTTTAAAGAATTTTTAAAGGACTATAGACGTGGATTTTTTAAAGAATTTTTAAAGGACTATAGACGTGGATTTTTTAAAGAATTTTAAAGGACTATAGACGTGGATTTTTTAAAGAATTTTTAAAGGACTATAGACGTGGATTTTTTAAAGAATTTTTAAAGGACTATAGACGTGGATTTTTTAAAGAATTTTTAAAGGACTATAGACGTGGATTTTTTAAAGAATTTTTAAAGGACTATAGACGTGGATTTTTTAAAGAATTTTTAAAGGACTATAGACGTGGATTTTTAAAGAATTTTTAAAGGACTATAGACGTGGATTTTTTAAAGAATTTTTAAAGGACTATAGACGTGGATTTTTTAAAGAATTTTTAAAGGACTATAGACGTGGATTTTTTAAAGAATTTTTAAAGGACTATAGACGTGGATTTTTAAAGAATTTTTAAAGGACTATAGACGTGGATTTTTTAAAGAATTTTTAAAGGACTATAGACGTGGATTTTTAAAGAATTTTTAAAGGACTATAGACGTGGATTTTTTAAAGAATTTTTAAAGGACTATAGACGTGGATTTTTTAAAGAATTTTAAAGGACTATAGACGTGGATTTTTTAAAGAATTTTTAAAGGACTATAGACGTGGATTTTTTAAAGAATTTTTAAAGGACTATAGACGTGGATTTTTTAAAGAATTTTTAAAGGACTATAGACGTGGATTTTTTAAAGAATTTTTAAAGGACTATAGACGTGGATTTTTTAAAGAATTTTTAAAGGACTATAGACGTGGATTTTTTAAAGAATTTTTAAAGGACTATAGACGTGGATTTTTTAAAGAATTTTTAAAGGACTATAGACGTGGATTTTTTAAAGAATTTTTAAAGGACTATAGACGTGGATTTTTTAAAGAATTTTTAAAGGACTATAGACGTGGATTTTTTAAAGAATTTTTAAAGGACTATAGACGTGGATTTTTTAAAGAATTTTTAAAGGACTATAGACGTGGATTTTTTAAAGAATTTTTAAAGGACTATAGACGTGGATTTTTTAAAGAATTTTTAAAGGACTATAGACGTGGATTTTTTAAAGAATTTTTAAAGGACTATAGACGTGGATTTTTTAAAGAATTTTTAAAGGACTATAGACGTGGATTTTTTAAAGAATTTTTAAAGGACTATAGACGTGGATTTTTTAAAGAATTTTTAAAGGACTATAGACGTGGATTTTTTAAAGAATTTTTAAAGGACTATAGACGTGGATTTTTTAAAGAATTTTTAAAGGACTATAGACGTGGATTTTTTAAAGAATTTTTAAAGGACTATAGACGTGGATTTTTTAAAGAATTTTTAAATGACTATAGACGTGGATTTTTTAAAGAATTTTTAAATGACTATAGACGTGGATTTTTTAAAGAATTTTTAAATGACTATAGACGTGGATTTTTTAAAGAATTTTTAAATGACTATAGACGTGGATTTTTTAAAGAATTTTTAAATGACTATAGACGTGGATTTTTTAAAGAATTTTTAAATGACTATAGACGTGGATTTTTTAAAGAATTTTTAAATGACTATAGACGTGGATTTTTTAAAGAATTTTTAAATGACTATAGACGTGGATTTTTTAAAGAATTTTTAAATGACTATAGACGTGGATTTTTAAAGAATTTTTAAATGACTAGACGTGATTTTTAAAGAATTTTAATGACTATAGACGTGGATTTTTTAAAGAATTTTTAAATGACTATAGACGTGGATTTTTTAAAGAATTTTTAAATGACTATAGACGTGGATTTTT